ATCGTACCTCTTCAAAAGAAGGACCGCTCTTGAGCCTTGCAGAGGCCGTGAAAGACTTGCCACCAACAGCACCAGACATGTTCATCAACTGAGCCCAAAATGAGACCCCCAGGCCCAACACCAAACGGCGAGGCGCTCTGCCTCCAGTTTTCCACTTGTTTAGTGCTTTTGCTAGAACGGGAACATACCCAACAGCGCTACGACCCGAATGAGATGATGAAGAAGGACATATACCCCCCAAAGTTGGCAGTCTAGGAGAGAGTCTGAGGCCAACGCATTTGGGCATTTTTTATAGTTTCAGTGACGCATAAAAAGGAGGGACGACACCAACTACCGTTTGTTTGATAAAAATGAAGATGATACCGGGGGAAAAGAAAAAAAACCCTTTCTTTCTAGATTATCTGGAAATATTGGATCACATCTTGCCACATCTGTGGTGGAATTACAGTTTACGTGGCCTATCAAATGATAGTGTTGCTTTTTTGGACTGCTAATTGAACACATGCTACACATAGGGAAAGTGGATAACTTGTGTTCTGAAAATTTTTACCAATTTCATACCACTTATATTGAAAAAAAAAAAATACCAGAGTAGGGAGTTGAGTTTTCATATGCAGCATATATGTACTGAAATTAGTTAATTTGGGAGATTTAAAGATGTATGTTATGAAAGTGGAGGTTATTAGATTGAGTTGTATGTAGTGAAAGATCTTTTTTTATCTTTTATCTGGTGTGAGTTCAAGTTAATTTGGTACTTTCAGGTTTCTGAGCTTGCAAAGTTCATACCTTCCTTTGGCTCCTCCTAATGTTGCAGATACTCTTATCTTATGTGGACTCAATCTACATTTGGGCTTTTCTGGCAGCTCCTTGCTTTGCTTGTAGGTTTTCCCATTTTTCAGATAGTAATTTGCTTTCTATTCTTCCACTTATTGTAATTTTTTCTTTTTGTTAACTGATGGAACAGTCCAGAGTCTAGGCAGACCTCTCAAAGTTTTTACTTGAAAAAGATAGAATTAGCCCCATTTCGGAAGGTACTGGTGTCCCTATTGGAAAGAAAGATTAATTTAAAGTCTATAAACAAGTACAGATGTGTGAGCTCAAAAACTTAGATCTACCGCAAATTGCAAGATGACAAAATGTGTTGTTGTTGTAGATAGATTGGTAGGCAAGGTGAGGAAGGGGACATGAAGGATCGTTGAGGACAAGGAAGCTCCAAAATTAGTGACAGTAGAAAATAGTACCTCTGACTAGACAGAGTAGTAACTAAGCAATATATTTATGGTCAATGACAGAATAGATAAACAATTGCTTGCTAGCTAGCATGCAGCAATTACACAGAAAATTCCAAGAGGATAAGTGTGAATCCAATGTTAAATTTAATCAGTTGGAAGAAAATCATATGATCCAAATAAATATATATTTATAGATGCATGCATGATTGCATGTGGGAGTAGAAATTCTCCATCATGTATTCATGAATCATGTCAAAGGTACTGCAAGTGGCCTCTGAGCCTGCACCAGAAAAGCACCACCCACTATTCCATTTGAAAAGGGCATTGTTGTGAGAGCATCATTACATATAATATAAAAAGGAAAAAGGCCAACCTAAGGAGTTGGCTTGATATATATTACTTACTAAAAAAATATGTTATATTGTCAAATTATCGATGTGAATTTTTTGTATGAATGTGTAATTGAGATTGACGATCTAATAACATAAATCATTACTCTACATGTATATAATATGTTGAATTCGCGATAGCTAATTTTCTCTCTTCCCTTTTTAATTTTCATCCTATGAAAATCTGTTTCCCTTCTTGTATATCACACATATGTTTCAAATCATAGACCATATTATCTTATGAATTCCATATTTGTATTCTCTTGCCTAACCACGATATATTTGGTTGGAATTCACCACATGCAGGAAGCTGACTTAAGCAATGCAATAATACATGCAAAAGAAAAAGAAAAAGGCAAAAGGTCATATAAATATCGCTTCTAAGATTTAAATATACCTAGAATAGCAATTGATGGATACGTACATCTAATTATAGTTTGTGATATATAAACTTTTGACCCACCTATAATCCAAATTCAAATTTACAAATTGCAATTTCTTCTTTGAGTTTGAGTTTTGTCTTCTTTTCTTTTTATCAACAAGGAAATGACATTTGAATTTGTGACGCATTCTAATATTAGGAATGCAAAGTGAGTTAGGCCACTCATTTAAAGTAGTGTGTTCATCTTTTTGCAATCGAGTTCAAAACACCTTTTACATAATTTAAAATATCATTTTGTCAAAAAAAATTTAATAAGAGTTTCTACATGTTTTTTTCATTTATTAAAGGTTTTGTCTAAAATACTTAGCAAAAACATCCACTTCAAAACCTCTATATATACGACTCCCATTTCCCTCCCTCACTCTCTTCCTCCTCCCTTCTAGGATCGCCTCCTCTCTGATCCCAACCCACCAAAAACTCCTCAACCGGGTCGACCCGACACCTCTCTCTTCCTCCCAAAATGGACCGACCCAGATTCGTAATTGAAGCATCCGAGGCCGAATCAATGGCCAAGCGATCCAACCTCACCGTCCTCCAGCTCCTCCCCTCCTTAGTCAAACCCGCCCAGGCCCTCGCCCGCCCGCCCATCTCCAAATTCCACGTCGGAGCCATCGGATACGGGTCTTCGGGTCGGATCTTCTTCGGCGGCAACCTCGAGTTCCCGGGTCTCCCGCTCCACTACTCCGTCCACGCCGAGCAGTTCCTCGTCACCAACCTCTCAATCCACAACGAGGCCAAACTCGAATACGTGGCCGTTTCGGCGGCTCCCTGCGGCCATTGCCGTCAGTTCCTCCAAGAAATCCGCGGAGCCCAGGATATCAAGATTCTAATAACCTCGGTCGAGTCCGGAGACGACAATTCCGGGTTAAACCGGTTTGACCCGCTTCTCCATTTGCTCCCCCACCGGTTCGGACCCGAAGACCTTCTCGGAGGAGACGTGCCGTTGCTTTTAGAGTACCACCACAACGGGCTGTCATTTTTGGGCGAAACCGAGATTTTAACCAACGATTTTAAACTGAATGCGGAGTTAAAAGTCGCGGCTTTAGAGGCCGCGAACAAGTCTTATGCTCCGTACAGTGGGTGCCCATCTGGTGTGGCTATTTTGGACACTGATGGGAATGTGTACAAAGGGTCGTACATGGAGTCCGCAGCTTATAATCCGAGCATGGGCCCGGTTCAATCGGCTCTGGTGGCTTACATTGTTGGTGGGGGTGCTGGGTATGAGAAAATTGTAGGTGCGGTTTTGGTGGAAAAAGAAGGAGTTTTGGTTAAACAAGAGCACACAGCAAGGCTGCTCTTGCAGGCCATTTCCCCCAAGCTTGAGTTTCGGGTTTTTCACTGCGCTTCTGGTTCGAATGCCTGTAAAAAGTCTTGATCTTGATGACCATGAATGTGATGAATAATCTGATTGTGATTAAGTGTTGTTGCTATTGGATGAATTATGAATCAATGAAAAGAATGAAGGATGGTGATGGTGATGATGATGATCAATTGTAATGTTTGAGTTTCTAATTTATTTTTAATCACAGATTTCTGTGTACTGGTTTGGACTGTACATAAACCAATAAGCAATAATGTCCTTAGCTGCATGATGCCATGCAAATTGTAATCGATCCACTTTGTTGTAAGTTTGTCACAAAGTATATGAATCTTTTGGGCTTTTTCTCTTTTTCCCTTTTGGGTTCTCTGTTCTGGCTTTGTTTTCCTCTCTTCTCAATTTGTGACTTCTTGTCAATCAAACATGAACTTATCTAAACAAAAAAATGAACTTATCTAAACAATTAGAGTTAATCATACATGCTCCTCCAATGAATCCTCGGTTTTTTATTTATTTATAACAAACGTGTAGATTCATATTTCATGGTTTGTTTTCCTTGTGGGATTGTATTTTCCTGTAATAGCAGATTGCTCAGTTGAGTACTTTGCGTTATGAAATTCGCTCTTTTTGACCCTTTTCATTCCTTTACGTTGCTGTCATGGCCTTGTAGATGTTGCCATATAGTGGCTGCCAAGAGCCAAGCTTTTTTCAAAAGCGCTTTTGTTAGTACAGTCAGCCAAACAAAAGAAGAATGATTCCCCTAAGCTCGTGGATGGTGTAGATAGAGTAGCAGTACTAAACTGAATTGGTCCACACATACTTGCAAATTGATAGGCCTGTGGAGTATCTACTGAGGTGGATTTCCAGTGCACCACATCTTTAAGACACTTTCGCCTTTCTATAAACCTCTATGAGCTGCTTTGTATTTTAGGTGAAATAAGAAGGGTAGGGTTGGTTTTATCTGGTGTGTAGGAGGAAGTATCACATCAAAGTTAACTAAATTGCTCTGTTTTGATTTGATGCCAGTTACAAGTTGGCATTTCTGTTCTTTTGCTCATCTAGAGGGTATAAGGCTCTTCTTAACGGGCATTCGAAGGTTCTAACATTTCGGCGATTTCATCTGAGGCAGTTGAGTAGTTGGATCAAAATGAGCAGACAAGATATGGCAAGATCTGGGTTGCTTTACATTGTAAATAATGAGTCTTGTAAAGAAAACCAGAGTCTAGAAAGACAAATTCTAGCTAGGGACCCAACCTTTGCACTGAAAGTGACAGAAACCTGAAAAGTGGAGCTTCCAAGCTGTAACATAGAAAACTTCAATCCATTACCATAACCATTACTTTTACTATGACCTAGCAATTTAGCTTACAACGAGATAAGAAAACCTTCATTACAGTTTGGAATCCCATGTTGTATGCCTGTCTCATTCCAGAACCAATCAAGTTGAGATGCCAAAAACAAATTTAGTTTACCAAAATATGAAAAGATGCTGCAATCTGAGCATACAATTCTCTTATCTGACCCTGCGAGGGCCATGTCTCATATCGGTATCATCACGAAGATATAAAGGAGCTTGCAATTTGGTTGAAAAATATATTATCTAACATGTAGTTCTAGCCTTCTAGGTTACACAATGAAGCTGGAGCATTTACATGTAATTGAATACTTCAAGATAATGAAACAGATTCCAAAAGCAACTTTGACAAAACCAGTCCATGTATGTACACCATGTTCCTATCTTCTTGTCCTTCTCGTGCACTAACTTTGGAGGCATCCTTATCTACCCATCAGTCCACTTTTCGGTTAACCAATTGCCAATGTCGAAGAAAAAGTTGGAGCTGCTTGAACATACTGAAGCACTCTGTTTTCATCAGTTCCAATAGAGGAAGAACCTGAAACCTGAAATTCACTTTTGCTTCTTTGGGTTTTTTGCAGTTTCAGGTCCAATTGCATGACACCATTTACATATGAATTTATAAATTTGAGTCCTGTACACGTTTGCAAAATTGGAAAGAAATAGTGCTAACAGTTACATGTGGTACCTTTTTATACAAAACAATTAAAAGAAAAGGAAAGAAAGTACAATTCTACAAACAAAAATATAAGGTAAAAAGAACCCCTTACTTTTAATGATTCCAGGGAATTTATAGTGATGAAACAGAAATTCACCAAGATGATAAAATCACTATTGGGGCAAAGAATAAGAAGAAGAGGCAGCATTTTTCAGAGGCACTTTGAAAGCATGTGCACCACCTGATCCAGGCCCTTCTAATTCATCCACAATGAAGACATCCTCAGGCTCCCTTAAAGCTCCATGAACCAACACAACCCCAAGGCCAATGGAGAGTCCCACAATGATATGATATCTCGCACTGGTAAGAAAAAGTGCGACGATTGTGACCAACAATAGAGAAATCGTCACCAATCGTTCATCAATCCGGTAGCCTAGAACCATCAAGGGTTGGTCATGCAGGAAATACAGAAACAACCATGCAACCATCGTGATGATGAAGACAATCAATGAAATGGGATGCCATAGTAGGCTTAGGAAGAGAATGAACAATATGATTATGGCATAGTTCATACGAAAGAACACCACGTTGGACTTGATTCTTTGGATTGATTGGTTGAAGGTGGTGGGAAGTGTGAGATCTTGCAGTTGAATCATCTCTAGCCATGGTCTACGTTTGCCAAGCCCCGACTCAATCTGTTCTTTTGCACGTGCAACGAAATGTAGGTTTGAGGAAGGAGGGGGCTCTGTCGGAATAGTCCCGTATGTTGTCATCGTCCGGTGGTAGGCAGAGATGGAAAGAAGAAGAAATGGTATGGAGGTCTGTGGCAGAGAAAGAATGCAGAATCTGTGCAGCTTGGATTTCTAATTTTAGAGTTTAGTTAGATCACTGATCACATATCAGCTACGTGTTGGGTTAATGTTTAAGTTGTTTGACTTCAAATATTTTACTACCAAAAGATGTACAAAACCATACAAGTAGTTTTATACAGAAAATTAAAAAATAAAAAGTGAAATTGGACGGTGCCATTAGTTCCATACAAAGAGACGTTTGACAAGTTCTCTTATTATGTGTGACGGATTTTTCTACATTTTTTCTTCTTCATGGAATAGCAAATTCTTCTTGGCACAATAAACCTTTGACATTCATCAACAAAAACAACGCATAGAAAGGTAGAAACTCTTGAAACAATTTCTGCAACTCTTCTAGGGCAGTCACTGACTGGCTGGGACCTCTCCTTGCTGTACCCTCCACGGCCCTCCATAAAACTTTGGCTTCATAAGAGGCACTGCCTGGCCAGGATGATCCTCCCAGTATTTCTCCTGCACAATTTTAAAGGTGCAGATTTTATTTAGGTCTTCAAAATTTGGTATGACTATATTTATCACCATTGAACTCTGGATAAATGTACATCCAGTTAAACCAATTCACCGATCTTAATCTCAAAAATATATATATATAAAGTTAACCAGTTTCCTAAAAAAAGAATGAAATGAGCTTGGATAAGAATGAAGATCATCATATATAAGTGAGCAAGTGACAAGTCCAGATTAGCTAAGGGAGATTGGCAGGCACATTAAGAGTAAGAGTTGGCGCCAACACTTCTGTGACACCAATGATGTAATCTGACAGAAAGCCGAAATGAGACCGAATTCTTTGCCAATCACTCAATAGATACAAAAGGAAAATAAATAAATGAAAGAAAAATCTAATGGTAGGTTGTTGACAATCACAAGAAATTTCCTATTGAGGCCAGAACTGAAAAATAGGGCATCTTCCCAGCCCTGTTCCTCTATTCTCTGTGAATATTTTCAAAGATCAGAGCAAATTAGTTTCTCTTTAGATTGCAGCTCTGCGACTAAAAGGCATATGGCAACAACCATAAATTACGGAAGGCGAAGTGAACTAGACCTATTGACCTAATCAATAAAGTGTGTAGGAAATTAGGCATCAATGCTGCTCCTTCCAGCTCCAAACCTGTTGACGCACAGGTCTGTCAAAGTGACACTCCTCTCAGCTATGCCACTGGTATGAACTCATATAATATATACCTTCAAGCTGGAACAATGCCATAAGCACTATCAAATGGCCTCTCCTAAACTATACATCAATCAAACAAACTCAATAAGTTTACAACAGATTTCAGTCCAACAAAAAGATTTAAGAAGAAACCGAACTTCGGTGCAGGATTTACTCTATTTCTTATAACACTAGTTTAGGACTTGTTCTCACTAACATTAGAGATATAAGCAACTTGACAGAGCTCAATCAAACAGGTTTTGAAATTTCAAAACGTCTATTTTATGCACCATTTGATGTTGAAAAAACGAAAAGAATCCAACTTTCTCTTCCTCTGAACTACAACACCAGAACTAAAAACCCATAAACAAATTTTTGGTCTTGACCCACTAAAGTAACCCAGAAAATTAACAATAACATTAATAAAATAAAATCCCAAAAATAGAAGACAGAGCAAAGTAATTACCTTGTATAGCTGCTCAGTGATAGCAGAGCTAACGACCCCAGTGTAGAAAGCGGCTACATAGATAGTGACCAAGGGTGTAAACGATTTGGGTCTGCTGTAAGGCTCAACCATGGTCCAAAGAATCATTCTTTCCCACTTTGTGTATATATAGTCTGCATATTTCCTCCATACATAGCTCGTCATTTCCACCAGAATTTCTTGCTCAGCTACAAATGGGTATTTTTGAAGTTTCTCTACAAGAGGATGCGTAATCTAGGGTTTTCGTTTTTTTTTTTTCCCGAATTTTCTCGGCAGCCAAACGAACTATTTCAATCAGCCAAGCCGTCGAAGAAGAAAGGGAAAACCAGTTGCAGTTTGTAGAGAGAGAGAGAGAGGCATATATAAAATTTCAAACGGCATGTCGTTCACTGAAATTTGGGTAAGGAGCCAAATGAGGCCCAAACAAACACTACACGTGGCCCATCATACACAAAACCGAAAAGGGCCCACACCACAAAATAAAGTTACCTTTAATTTATTTTGTTTTTTAAGAATAAATATTTACTGTATCTTTTAATGTTTTTATTATTTGGCTTTTTATAACAAATGGTCCTCGAGGTTTGCGAAATTATCACTTTTTGTCCCTAACTTTTTTTGTGACACTAATGATCCTTAAGGTTACCTCCATGCATCAAAATGGTTCCCGCCATTAGCTTCAATCAAATTTTCTATTAAATTGATGATGTGGCACATGTGTGGTGCCCACACATCTAATGGTATAGAGCCATGTGGCTTTAAATATAATATAATATTTTAAAAATATTTTTAAAACTTAAACTCTATTAAATAAATAAATAAAAGCAACTTAAATATTTTTTTATTATATATTTTTATTGTGTTCTCTTTCCCTCCCCCCCTCGAAGACCCACTACTCTCTGCCTCCTCTCTCTCTCTCTCTCTCTCTCTCTTTCTCTCTCTATTTGAAAAGAGCATGAAAGATATTTTAAAATTAAAAAAATATAATTTAAGTTACTTTAATTTATTTTTTAATGAATTTTAAGTTTTAAAAATATTTAAAAAATATTATATTATATTTAAAACCACGTGGCTCTGTACCATTGGATGTGTGGCCTCTACACATGTGACACATCAGCAATTTAACCAAAAATTTGACAGAAACTAACGATAGGGAACATTTTGATGTGTGGAGAGTAACCTTAAGGATCATTAGTGTAAAATAAGAAACGTTAGGGACGAAAGGTGATAATTTCGTAAACCTCAAGGACAATTTGTGATAAAAAGCCTTATTATTTTGTTGAGCAAGAGAAAAAAATATAACGACGAGAAGAGAAAGATAAACAGATTAAAGAGACGATACGAGAAAGATAAATAGAGAAAATGATTTTCCAAATAAGCAAACTTCAACCTGATTGTCCAGCTGTTTTAAACTCGGAGAAAGAAAGAATCACTCCTATCATATATTATGAACCTGGAACTTCTTTGTCCACAGAATTTTCAAGTAAATACATGACATCCAGAATAAGAATGACAAAGAATGTGGCAGAACAGCAACTCGTGCTTTGCGTTGTTTTGCGTAGGGGGAGGGAGCAAATATACAGAATACAAGTACCAAGCTGAAGCTGACTATTGTGGGGTTTGATACTATGGACCGATTTTCTTAAATACAATTGAGTTGAAGAAGTTCTATGATGAAGCAGATTCCGAGGGCTTGTCCTTCGGAACTGAGGAAGGTTCCAGTGTAAGATCTCCGACTCCCTTTGGAGGGCCGATGCTGCAACGAGCTGTGTTGTGTAATGCAATAGCATCCTTTAACTTCTGGAACTGCATAAGATTATGGACACAATCAGGTCATTTGAAATGAAAAATAGATGTGAAATTTCCTAAAAGCATTAGGAGCAATACTAAAACTTCAGCATCCACATTACCTGCATCACACATATAAATCTAACACAATGAAAAGACGATAATGGAAGATGATTGTTTCCAACAGTATGCCATTCAAGTTTACTAATCCTCCTTTATTCAGCTAAACTAATCAGAGTTGGAGTTTTATGCCAACTATGGTTCCCATTTTTCAAAAAGTAGGTGCTTCAGAGGGTACAACCAGTTTTCTAAGGTGTAAAAAGAAAAGAGACACTATAAAAATCATAAGATTCAACATTCTTCCCGGTAACCTAAATGATAACACAAAAAAAGAAAAAAAGAAAAAGAAAAAGAAAACAGAAGTTCAATAAGTACCTTAGCAAGTGAACACGAAAAGGATTCAAGCTGTCCCTCAGCTCCACGATAAAAGTGGAAATAGGGAAGTACCTTCACGTTCATACTTTTGCACATTGGCTTGTTCTCGTCAAAATTCACTTTCAGGAATAAAATCTCAGGGTGGTCTTCAGCTGTTCTGCAGAGCTGACACATGCATTAAACAACAATATCAGGAACACAGCACCTCAACTATATAAAATCAAGTGTGATACATTCAACATTATCTAAGTTTCCATTGAAGTGAAGTAGTTTCCAGGAGATTTTTACGAAAGGAACTTTTAATATTGAAGGCTTCTTATGTTCCATTGGACATTTAAGCTGAATCTTTGGGTAGTAGAGCCATCTCGCCTCTTCAAAAACATATGTACAGCAATTTGAACTGGGTGATTTCTTGTTTATTTATAACATAGGCGGCATGCAATATAACCAGGAAAAAGTGAAACAACCAAAGAAAACACTCAGCTGACCGGAATTAGTTCTGAGTTCTCCAACAAGACATGCCACTGCTTCCTTGGGTACATTTGAAATCTGGAATCAAACCATTCCAATGAACTTGAAGTCTTACAGTTCAAGTTAGCAAGCGCAAACCAGGAAAGGTTTCAATGACACCAATCCTATGTATACATGTATGTATTTACACATACATGCATATGAACATTACCTTCTTCGCCGCTTGTTTAAAAGTCAAACAACTACGGATTTATTGTCTCAGAAGCTATACGAAAGTTTTTTACGCATAAAGTAACTAGAAGGAATGAAGATGAATTGACTTTTATTTCTCCAAGTAGTTAAAAACTGGAACAAAATTATGAAGAAATGTTCAAGTGACAAAGAAGATTACCTTAGGAAATAATGCACGGCAAGAAGCACACCAAGTCCCATAGAATTCTACAATAACTAATCTATCACCAGCTTGGCCTAAAGCACTCAAAAATTCTTGTGTAGAATGAATGTCAACCATATTTGGAACACTTCTTTCCCACCATTTTGGCTGGTCTTTGTCTTTTTCAGCAACAGTTGCCTGTACCTGCATGCAGGAAAGGGTACAACAAATACACAAGAAGCTATAAGACATTCACTAATTATCAGCTTAATCCAAAACTTGGGGAAAACTAACAAAAAATAATTTCCAATCAGATTTTCCTCAGTAATGTGGGCCTTTCCGGGTGAAGTGAAGAAAAACTGAAAAACTGAAAATTTGCTAACCCGAATTTCAACTTTAACAGATAAGCAAACAAAGCTCCGAAATGCAATTGAACAAAACAATTTAGACAAATGGGTTTCCCTAAAATACTTATAATGTGCAGAAAACTTGGTAATTGAACTCATTCACAAACAAATTTCCCAAAGGCTTACAATATATGACCCAATTACAATATCCCAACTAATGGGTCCTTTCAAATTCAAGCAAATATTGAGTAGATAAGAAATAATTGGAAGAAAATGACTAGTTATGGTTAGAATTACCTTGAAATGCACCAACTGCTTTCTGGGTCTGAAAGCAACGCGAGTAACAGACGAATATGAAAGAGGATAAACCCTTTTATATGGGTTTTGATTGGGTGGGAGGCCCGGTTGGAGAGAATTGAAGGAGGAGGTGAAGGAGGTGAGCAGAGACGAAGAGAAACGCAGTGAATGGAATGGTAATCGAAAAACATCAGCCATTTGACTTGAAAAAAAAATGGAGAAAATATAGAAAAAGGTAATTAAATAACAGAGCTTTTGAAGATTTTGAGAAAGCTGAGGTGGGTGAACTCTACATGTACGTGAGGGTCAAAGCCGCCGAAGAAGAAAGGCCATGGCTTTAAAGAAGACGAGTTGTGTGTGTGATAGCATCCAGTGCTGTGTGTGTGAACCAGAAGACGATGTTAGTTTTTGGTTGATTTTGATTCTACTTCTTACTTTCCAATTTCAATAATTTTTTTTTTTAAAAAAAGAAGATATATTTAGAGTTTTTCTATTTAAACCCCACACTTTTTTTTAAAAAAATATCCCATATATTAAAAAAAACAGAGAGAAAATAGGGTATTCCGCCCTTTAATAGGGTTCAAAATATAAATAATAATAAACCAAGGTGGTTGGTGTGAGTGGTTCGGCACTCTCATTCCTTAAGAGAGGTTAGGGGTTCGATCCCTGCTCTCGCATGGAGTCACCACTTTGGCTAGCACTTTACCCCTTACGGGCCGACCCGGTGTGAGCGGGGATTAGTCTGGATTGTGATTAAGGCTTAAAGGTGCCACCCATAGTTGGGGCCCATCCAGGGCCACCTCGTGGTTCAGACCAAAAATATATATATATATATAAATAATAATTTTTCCTTTTCATTTAGTTTTCTTTTGTATTATAAAAAAAAATACAAATAATCCTGCATTGTAGTTGCAGTTTTATGCATATAAATTTTTAGTTAGGACATATGGTAACACACAAATTTAAGAACGTAATAATTAAAAGTTGGGTAAGGGCTGTTTTTGTGATTGCATAAGTGACAAATGACATAATAACATTACATTTTAGTAATATTTATATTAGTTTTTGTTGACTTTCCAACTGGTATTTAATCTAAATTTTTTTAATATTTAAAATGAAAATATTGTGTAATTTCGTATTTAACTTCAAAATTCTCTTTATATTAACGTGTTATTTCTTTCTCAGTTAAGAATTTTTTTTTAAGGGAAAAAAAAAAAGATTTCTAGTGAGTTGATATTTTATATTCAGTAAAGGGAATATTTTGGAAAAGTAATTGAGTTTTGCATTATTCACTAGAATTATAAAAGTCAACAAAACTTTAAATAGGCCGCGAGAAGAACCAGCTGCTAACCATCTAGCCCACTTGGGCCATAAAGAGGGTCTGCCTTTTTGGCTGATGCCTTAAGATTCAGCTTACCCAAACACCCCCAAAACAAAAATAAAAGAAAATCACATGATGTTACTACCATAAGAGAACTCTAATCTCTATTGATCTATTATAAAGATTGCTTTGAAAGTTCCTCAAGAAAACCAAAAGGCAACAAAAGAAAGATTGCTTTGAATTTAAGAGATTGCAGAAGTGCTGCCAAACACAGATTTTTTAACTGTCTAGATATGAATTCCCAAACCAT